AAAACTGCAAGAGTCTAAAGAGCTGGAAGAAAGCAAGAAAATAAAAGGGACATCAGGCAAGTCAGGGAACTTGAGTTTTAGCTTTTCTTTTTCCTCCATTGTATAGTGTTAGATCACTTAAATTCTCTCAATACTGTTCTCCTTGTGAGAAGCAGAGTTAACCAATATGTGATCCTACCTTCCTGTAAAACTCTGTTCTTTCCAGCTGCATTAGATTTAATAGCTTTTACAATGTAGGCAATAGAAGAGCCAAGTAAAGTACATAGATGTTGGTGCCAGAGTCACTGGGCCCAAATCCAGGCTGTGCTATTTATTGTCATTACTGTGTGATCTAGGGAAAGTTGTTTCTTCTTTCTGTGCCTGAGTTGTCTAGAGTAAGGGTGAAGGATTCTATAGATGTCTGTGCTGTCAGTTGATTTAGAATGGTATTCCATTTTGATCAGTGTATACTGTCCATTATGGAAAGTGGTTATTGAAGTATTCAACTAATATTGTTAAATTACCTATTTCTTCTCTTCAATTCTGTCAGTTTTTGCCTCATATGTTTTTTTAACAATATAATATATTATCTATAGATGTATGTCTATAATTATTATGTTTCTCTGAAGCATTAACCATTTAATCATAATAAAGTGCTCCAATTTTCTCTAGTAACATTTGTTTCTTTAAAGACAAATGTCTGATATTAATACAGACACTTCAGCATTTTCATGATTGCTCATTGCATGATGTATATATTTGCCATCATTTTGCTTTCAAATTTTTTGTTTCTTTCAGATCTTTTAAGTTCAATCTCATCTTTATTATCTTTGTTTTTGTAGCTGATATTATTATCTGACCTAACAATATGACCTCTTTAATTTGACCCATATCAACTCATATTAAATGGTATGATTAACTCAGTTGATGTTGAATTTTGTCCCTCCAAAATTAATTTGTTGAAATCTTAACACTTGAGAGAAGCTGAGCAGGTCCCAGCACCTGGAAGGAAGCTCCCCCGCTGCCATCCCAGGCTCCTTGGGCAGAGAAGCTGAGCCAGTCCCAGCACCCAGAAGGAAGCTACCCCACTGCCATCCCATGCTCCTAGGGCAGAGAAGGTGAGCCATCCAGATGCCAGAAACACACCCATCCCTCATGGAAATAAGAAGATAAGCCTCAAAAACAGACTTCTGGATCAGCTACAGCAACCCCAAAGGGAAACAAGATGGAACAATCTGATACTCAACAACCTGGACTCTCTGAACTGGCAACAAAGGAGGATCTGGGAAAAATGAAATCAGAAATAATTACTCAGATAACAGCAAAGATTGTGCTCATGGTACATGACATGATTAATAAATCTAGAGAGGACACAGATAAAAAAATAGAGGATCTGAGGAACATGATGGAATCCCAACATAGGAAACAAATGGAATCCATAAAACAGAAGCAACAGATTTCCAGGAGATTAAAAACTCCATCAAAAGTCTGCACAGCAAAATGAACGAATATGAGGATAGAATTTCACATATAGAAGATAAGATTGAAATTAGTGACCAGGAAAAGAAAAATTGCTTTAAAATTGTAAGGGACCATGAGAAATCAATCCAGCAGCTGCTAGACAATGCAAAGAATAGCATAAGACTGATTAGAGTCAATGAAGAAACAGAAGAGAGTGCAGACGACATAAAAAAAACTCTTCACAGAAGTGATGGCAGAAAACTTCCCAAGGAAGGGAAAAGAACTTGACATACAGATAAGTGAGGCATATAGGATTCCAGCTAGACTTAATAAAAAAATCTACACATAGGCATATAAT